TTTTCAAATATATATCGTGATAAATATTTTTGGCCATATCGCCCTGCTCTACCTGGTATGATGCAAAACTACCAAGCATGAAGAAAGTGCTGCTCTCATACAATCTTTCACCTTGAAAGCTTTTCCCAAAGGCCGGAGTGACGGACATTCCTCTGTGCCCAGTTAAAAACAGGAGCTTTGACCCATTTGCTTCCACTTTGGGTATTAAAGTAGGACACTATATTGCCTACTGAGTATCCCATGAAAATATAGTATGTGTAAAATTAGAATGAGGGCTTAAACAGCATCTAGCTAATTCAGCTAGCTAGTTCAGGATCCAATTGCCTTTCTTGGGGGAATGAATACTTCTGAAGCTCTGGTAGGCAGCTCTGTGGGAGATAATGGCAATGTTTGGCTTGGTTGAAAACTCTCTGAAAACTCTTATGTCTCTCTGGACTCAGAAGGCATTACTGACCACCACCACCACCAATTTAAAGTGAAGCAATGCGAGTGTGTCATGTGGTGTGTCAGGTATAATTTGCTGTGGCTATGGAGACTAATAAATCTCTACTTTTTGAACATACATTATTTAATTACGATAACCTATAAGCAGCCAACACAAACTATAACAAAATGCAATTGTCGCTCCTCCTTTTAGCATCTAGTGGCACTCAGCATGATTATTAATGACAGTAACAGATCATGTTAATGAGTCATGCTTGAAACAGGTAGCTACAAGCATTGTTGAATCCTCTGCAAATGAGTTTGATTGTGTGTGTGCTGGATGAGAATTGGCATCCGATGCATGGTCATTAACTGCGCAGTAGTGCAACGATCTTTAATTTCCTTCAAATCTCTTGTGAGTTTGGTGATTTCATTGCCAGAGACAAGACTTTCGGAACATTACAGGCAACGTTTGTGCAATTTTCAAATATATAGATAAACTATTATGATTTAATTTTTTTGGAACTGAGTGGAAAGGAGCCAAAGACCACAACAAAACAATCAACAGAAACCAGAGAAAGGTTCACATTTTACACAATCAACTTAACTGGAGCCCCTGTTGCATATTTTATGTAGTCCAAATACATACACCCAACCTAACAACATGCTTTTGAACTGCAACGCAAACTACGCTGACTGGTTGAGATAAAGCTCAGATGTATTTCAAACTGCACTGACGACTGCACAAGAAAGCAGAATATAATCGAGGTTAGATAATTATTCCATGGCCAGAAAAGAAAAAAAATACACTGCAGTATATTCAAATGAGCGAGGCTCTAATTGCATGTGCCCAAATGCACGCATAGAATCTAGTTCGGGAAAACTGTTTTACATTCAGCCCACATCTTCAGTAGTTAGGAGTTCTTAGGCAACAGGCAATTAGAGGAGATACCACTGCTCTTATCTGCTGCTGAATCTGAAGGCAGATTCCAGTAGTAATAGCCTGAGAGACAAGCGGCACCTGAGCCTCTGAGACAGCAATGAACAGTATACATCTTGCAAGCAAAATAACGCCAATACCTTTTTAACCGCCAACACCTCATTACAACTAAATTACTAAAAACTAATTTACTGCTTCATATCTACTATGAAACATAAAGGAAGCCAAAACATGAGTACACAACAGGTGTTTGTGTAGGCAGGCTTGGCCAACATCCGTTTACAGTTGCCATGATGTTGAAACTACACCACAAAAAAGTCAACAAAACTGAAATAAAAACAGGATGATTTTATGAGAATTTAAGATAGAGACATAACTGTTTGTCCAGTCCATCCACAACTGGTTTAAGGTGTTAGTTATAAAGTTTAACACTATTTCTAGACACTAGAAATTAGAGAAGTTAGAGAAAAATAAGATGAGAGGAAGAATTCGAGAGCTTTTCCCCCCAAATGTTAAACTGTTAAATTGTATTGAATTAAATATTTTGAACTGACTGATTTACAGGAACATCTACAAGAGAAACATAATGATAAAAATTCAAGGCTAGTTCACATTAACACTTCTTTTAGCCTCTTTAGAAATATTTTCAAAATCTGTCAACTGCCCAACTTTTTAAACAGACTTCCATTCTATCACAAGTATCAAGAAACACTGAATCCTAATCTCCACACACAGCTGCGTGCATCGCATGCATCGCATGCATCGCATGCATCGCATGCATCTCCTATTGTTGCAGCATGATGTAATTTTTTAATGGTACTTATAATGAATGATTAGACTCCCTGTGCTGCTTCAGAGTTTTTGGTATGCAGACATCAACCGCACATTAAATTTGACACACCATTAATAATTTGGTTCATTTCAAAAGTGAAGATGACAAATTAAGAAGTCGAAATAGAAAAAAGAAGTAAAAAACTTTGCATCTAGGGCTAACTATTGAAGTGGAAGTCAGAGGTTGCAGGCTCTGTGGACTAAACAAAACTAAGTCCTCAGCTATAGTGGGAAAAAGTCCATGTTAATATATTTCACATATTACCAGACAGGGCTTATAACATAAGTACACCAGTGGTGAATTGTTTTCTTAGTCAGTTTGATTGGCATGAGCTCTGCATGCCATGGAGAAAATACCTGCATGCTGCAGCCATTGAACAGCTTCTCTCAAGCACCAGGCCACTTTACCCTGGCCATTAGAATGCTGGAGCAGTTTGGATTCATCTTGTAGTCTGCAAATGAGAGAAAAAACAGTATTAGGCTTACACTGCTAAAATACTTGTATTATCATCTTACTACATGGCTCTAAATCAGTTTTAGAGCTAGGAAACTAAAACAGAAACCACACAGTCCATTCTGATTTAGAGCATTTTACTTTTAGAGTCTAACCTGCAGCCTAAGGCACCTTTCTCTGTAATGATGCTGCATAAAAGCTCATTTCAGTGAGCCACTAGGCCAAAACACAGCAATGTGAAGTCATCTACTTTTCCAGAATGCAGTGTATGGCCATCAGGGAAAACGATAGCAAATCAAATGTGCGCAAACACATATCACGTAGAATAAGTTGAAGCATGGACCTTGAAGCACTGCACTAATTTGCTGTCTGCCTGGTGAGCACCAACAAAGAAGAGAAAGCTATTTCTTTGATTAACTTTCCAGAGGTGTACATTCAGACCTCAAAGGAGTACGAGGACATAAACCACTGTCTTCGCATGTTAAGCCTTCACCCTGGGCTTGTTTATTTGTATTTCATATTTTTACCTGCACCCTGTGGCAAAATACCTGCACTTACAAAACCCCTTTTATTGTTTTTCCATTGTGCTATTGTCAGTGTCAAGGCCTCCAGTGGAGCACTAAACACTAAATGATTAGCAGACAATGTTGCTGCAATCCCTGAACTTTGGAGTGAGAAAAAAAAACCTCACAAAGAATATAGTACTGTGAAAAAGTATTTGTCCCCTTCCTGACTTATTTTCTGCATATTTGTCACACTTATATGCTTCAGATCATCAAACAGCGCCCAAGGATACCACAAGCAGTAGAGTAGCCAGGGATGGTTCTCCTGAACCATAGCCTCCTGACTAAGAGGTGAACTTGCTGGTGTGTTTCTGATCACTGTCCTGCTGCATAATCCAAACGAACTTGAGAATCAGGGCACAAATTGATGGCCAAACATTCGACTTCAGAATTTTGTGTTAGAGAGCAGAAATCATGGATCCATCAATTATGGCAAGTTGCTGTAGGTCATGAAGCAGCACCAGTAGTCCCAATGCCACCACTATGTCGACTCTTGGTAAGACATTCTTTTTAAGAAATGTGTTAGTTTCACACTAAATATAACACAATGTAAACTTTCCAAAAAGTTCAACTTTTTGGCTCGTCAGCCAACAAAACATTTTCTCAAAAGTCTTGGAGCTCATCAAGATGTGTATTGGCAAATGTGAAACAAACTTTTGAGTTCTTTTTGGTCAAGGGTACTTCAGCTTCAGGGTTCTGGGTGTTATAGATGCCACTGACTTTGTTTCTCTTGAGGTTCTATAGATCATGGCATAAGCCATAGTATTTTATATTTTTAGCCTATTCCACTTTGTTAGACAGGTTCTATATAACTGATTTTTTGATTCAACAGGTATGGTAGTAATCAAACCTGGGTGTGGCTAATAAAATTGAACCCAGTGTCAAACACATGTGAATTATTACAGTTAATTTATGATTTTACAAAGGGAAACAAGTACTTTTGGGTAATTTATCCATTAACGAAAATATCCTCATATAAAAATACTGGGGGCTGCCAGTGCTACCCTTCAGTCACCTAGTAACTGCACCTATGATATAAATTTGAAAATCCTTGGCGACTTCCTTCATGAGTTATCGCATTTCCGAGGTTTTCAGAAAATTTGACCTCTGAACTCCACTCTCAGTTCAAGGTCACTAAGATTCAGAACTCATTCAAGATTTTTAGCAATACAAAAACTTTCAGTAGATGCGCCTGTGGTATGAATGTGAAAGTCATAGGTGACTTCCTTCTTGAATTGTTGCATTCACAAGGTTTTCAGAAAACTCGACCTCTGAACTTGACCTCTAAGTCAAAGTCACTGAGATTTAAACTTGTCCGAGATTTTTAGTAGCCGTCTCATCTATGGTATCGATTTTAAACTCCTATGTTGCCCAGTTCTCAAGTTTTCGCCCAGTTGGGTAAAAGCAATACCCCAGTTAAAAAAGGGAAATAAGGAGGGGGGAAATACTTTTCACTGCACTGTAGATTTCTTAAGATAAATAAGAATCTGATCAAATCAAGGTTGTTTAAAAATATAGGCAAAGAATTACTACAATGTATACAGCAGCTCTGCAGGTCACTGAAATATGTAGGTATTTCCAGTAGTTTGAAAGTAGGAAAATAAAAGCACCACATACTATTTTGACATGTCTTTTTCATGCCCCCAACTTGCCGTCTCATTACAGTTAGGGCTGCTCAATTAATCGAATTTTAATCACGATTACGATCTGGGCTTTCAACGATCATTAAAAATGACTGAGCCGATTATTAGCCCCTCCCTCATTTATCCGCGACACCTTAAAGGCCGGTCCGTGAAAATATTGTCGGGCATAAACTGGTCCGTGGCGCAAAAAAGGTTGGAGACTGCTGATTAAGAGGACCCGAGGGAAGCTCGGAAAGCTAAGCAGAAGTTATTTGGAGAGGAGAGTGACTGCCGTTGGTTGAAAAGAGAGTTTAAAAAAAAAAACTTCAGTGGTGTTGCACACTATTTTATATTATTTTTTAAAGTCATTGTTAACCCTTTAAAGCCGGTCAGAGGAGCACGCTCCGTTTTGCGTAACTATTTTTAAATCCCTGTAGAACCTGAACCGTGTAAGCTAGCTCAATAATTTGTTTTGCATATGAAACCGGAGGAGTTGTACTTACATCTGATGCCATCAGCTTGTCCTCGGTCACGGTTTCGTTCCACATATAGCTTTGCAAAAATTGCATAAAAAGCGCTTGCAGGAACAAAAACATAATATTCCAGAAACACGCTTTGCCGATCCTATCAGCTGTTCGTAACACTTCCCACAGTGAAATGATGCACCTGCTGTTTTCTTTGCAAATTTGCATCATAGGATTGTTTTTTGTTTTTCCTGCAGTATATAAAAATTGCTGTATCTCCAAAATAAAACTATGAAGACACTCAAAATAAATTTCCTGTGGTGGGAAACTATTTTTTGCAACTTTATTGTATTTAAAGTTTTGAGGGATAAGCCTCTTAAATTTCTCCAAGTAGAAATATATGTAAACAAAACAAAAGCGATTTTCAAATTTTTTTGTAGTTTATTGCACTTTTTTGCAATTTATGTAATTACTATGGACTTAATGCATACATATTATTAAAATATGGGCTATAACAGTTGTATTGATGTATAGCAACTTGAAATGCTCCCACAAATGGCACTACAGCATGTAAAAAAAAAAAGCTCTGGTGGACTTGGTTCTATAGTAGGTCTTAAAGGGTTAAATAAATATCGTCAAATAATCGTGATCTCAATTTCAGTGAAAATAATCGTGATTATCATTTTTGGCATAATCGAGCAGCCCTAATTACAGTCATGACATCTCCAGACTAAACTACTGAGTTGACGTATAACCACAATGCTAAGCAGCTCTTACAGCAGACTGAATCAAACTAGGGTGTTTTTTGGCTGTTTTGTACGTAAACACAACAAATGTGTGGATGCTGGTGTGTCTGTTCTGGCTGAGAGAAACCACAAGGCTGGGTTAAGAGTAAATCTATGACCCTTTTAGCATTTACACTGCAACAGGAAAACAGTGCCACCATGACCATGAATGTGACAGCAGAAGGTAAAGATTTGGATAGCAGCTCACACGTGTTGAATAAAGGTGAATATAATCGTAAAAATGTTGTTTTTTTGACCATGAATCGCCTGTACTTCCAGCGAAGCTTAGGAGCTAATCACGACTTAACTCATTGTATTACAAGGAGCCAACGCACTTTCTCAGTACTGCTATAATACGATGACTCTGGCCCTTACCAAATCTCCAACTACACCCAAGTCCACCCACACCCTCTCAACATCCGACTCACACTAGCAAAGAAACCATTAACAGTAATGAGAATCAATGGGGGTGTTAAAAGTATTGGCAGGCTACCCTAGGAGCTGCTCTCTGTGCCATCTTTATTAGTCTGAAAAGAGACCCAGCCTCTAGCCTGCCAGCTCTAAATAGGAGTGCATTGATCAGAAGGTCAGGCCAGGCTGAATCCAACCCTTTAATTGTCTGCGCCACTCCTCATTCTCATTCCAGCAGCTGTCAGTCGACTCCCAGGTAAACCAAGGCCAGCATCACACGTGGTAGTTCTTACAGAAGTGGGCCTTTAAGGCTCAGACAGAATGTAAGCCATAGGTAACAGGAAGAAGAAATGAAAAGTTATTTCTCATGACATATTCATCTTAATCAGTTGAGAGAAGAGAAAACCACCACTGATCCCACAACACACACAAACATACACAGTATTACACTTACTCTCAGCAGATGAAAGCTACCTTTTAATTCACTTACTTAATGCATTTCTCAAATTCAGCTCAAGAAAGGCTTCCCATCACGCTGTACTTTCCTTTAACACCTTTTTACAAGACATATTATGTTCTTCTTCAAGTGATATAATCTCCTTTACGGACACAGTAACATTAAACCACTTTGTAAGACTGATATGCCAGGCACCCACCTCTACATAAACCACACTACAAGTTGCAAATATAGCTTACAACAGGCTTATAAGGTCATAACCTCCGAGGGATGACGATCTAGTATTAAAGAATCTATGCTATAGTCTTTGAATTAACTGTTAGCCAGTTAAAGGAACCATGGACACATCTTCCAAAATACAAAACAAATACAAGCACCCAGTCAGTGCCGAAAAAGAGATTCTGTGTCTCTCTATGCATTTGCATATTTGTGAAGCAGATAAATTCACTTCCTCATTAAGTTTAATTACCGTTTTAAAATATGGATATGGACTCATCAGCTCCTCCCTGCTAACCTCTATTTATATATTTTTAGATTAAATATATATACAAGTCTGACTCAGAAAATTCCTTTTAAGTTTTAAATATATTTTCATATATTTATAAGATGGATAAAGAAAATGAAAACATGACCACAAACTATCTCCCAAGAAAAAGTTAAAACGCTAACATTAGAAAGTATATATATCAGATTCTA